AGATGGATCCTGCGTGATCCCAATTATCCAAATATTCTCAGGGGTTAACATATCCGGGTATTCCTCGGTTAACTATTTTGAGCAAACACAAATGCAGTTGTTATAAGAATCTGTTTTGAAACGCGGCACGCATGTTAAATAATACTATTTGTGGAATAATTTACCTGATAAAAATTTTCTTTAACTAGTTTGAGTGTCACACGTGTCAATTCATTCGTTGTCGGCTCTAACCAATCTGCTACATGTGTGCATCCATGGCGTAATGACGACGTCTCTTGCATGTTTGCCAATCGCGAGTATTCAATCCATTGTATGTACGCATCATATTCATTATTCACATTATTCCATGATTCCATGATAAATAAATCCAATGACTTGTTGCCAGTCGTCCAGTCGAGAGGTCGTGGTGCTTTGCATTTGCAACAGAATGCATTTATCTTAGTGATTAATCGCTCCGTACATGCCAGACATAACCTATCCTCATAATATTCTTTTATCAGACAATACTTTTGGTTTTTCGCATCATATGTAAATCCGATAGTAACCCATTCATCAGTAGTAAGAATATCTGGATGTTTGTCACATAACTAGTGGAAATGATACATAATAATAAGTCAATGGTTATTTAAACTATTCACTAACATGACGCATAAGTAGATAGTTACCTCGGCATAATATAAATCATGTGTTTCATCTGTTATCTCAAGTGGAATCAATTTAACTGGTTCATAAGTAGGTAGGCCGCGCAAATTTAAGCCATATTTCCCTTCATCATGAACACAATCAAATGGAATCCATTCCAAATAGGCATCGTTTGCAGAGTTTGTTTGTAATTGAAATTTCTTAATAAAGTCATCAATTTGGTTATTGTTGCTGGTCCATCCATCGGATAATTGTTTATGACCGCAAACGCACCACACTGGACTACATCGGAGTATTCCGCATGCGGTGCAGAATCCATATCGGGAATAACAATGATAAAAGCGTTTACCAGCAACCATGTAGTAATTATCATTATATTTGGTGAATCCCTTTATGAGATAGTTGCGATCTTCAAGCCATGTTCCGTATCTTTTGAAGTAGTTGTTACTATCGTACTTGTGTGTCGGAAGTGAGTATATTCTTGCAAACTCACTCACAAGTGTTAGTGTACATTCTTCGCTACTTCCCAGTGCTAGCAACATTATGCTCTTTTCATCAACTTTACCATCATCGAACGTTTCCTTTCGAGTTGCATAATAGACATTGTCAATTTGAGTTGGCTCTATATCAGTGATTTCCGAGCAAGGAATCCATTCAAGTCTCAAGTTTTGTTCACTTTCCAAAGAGGATTGAATCAAGTTGTAAATTGCTGGACATACTGAATCAATTTCTTCAAAGGCAACCTTACTATTACTGGTAAGTACATTTTCTTTCTTGGTTAGCAGTCTCCTCAAAGTAGAACAAGAATGACGTTTACCAAGACTCATCGGTAATGGTCGCTCAGCATGATAATGTAGGCCCGATCTGTTATAAAATTCTCTCCCGTCCTCTTTTGTCTCATCAATTACAATATCATCCCCATTATCATTGTTATAAAGTTCTCTTTCTTCTTCATTCTTTTCAATATCATCGACACTATCACCATCATTGTTATAGTCATCGTCATCGTCGTCATCATCATCGTCATTGTCATCATCATTGTCATCATCATTGTCATTGTCATTGTCGTTATCTTCTTTCACTTCTTTCTGATGAACCTTGGCAGAATTTTCGTCTGATTGGCTATGATGAGGTACGTCTACTTCAATGTATGATTTTCTGTTCAGCATTTGGTTTTCAAAAGTCTCAACTTTCAATTGGCCAAAGTATCCAATCCTTGCACGATTGCCTGACAACTTCCATTTGACATAAATACCTTCTGCTTCTTCGCTAAAATTGTAGAGTAAACGATTTAGAGAAAGAGGCACGATAGCGCACTAACAACGCAGCGCATATGACATACAACAGAGAACTTACGGGGATTCATTCCAGGTAATTTCGAAAGAAAATCCATAAGTACTGGCATAATATAATCTTACAGCTACATCACATCTTTTCCCATTATTGTAGACTTTTCCCTTAACTGTATATGCATTGCTCAATAACGGTTGTTCGAAATTGACTTGACAAAGATCAGTACACTGATAATCTATTGGTGATTCTCCAGTCATCAGTACTTCAATTTTATCGCTGAATAACATTTCGACCTTGGCAATCAAAGCTTCATCCAGCAATTTATAAGTTGGAACAAAGTCAGCTCTTTCAATTATGCTCCACTGGCTAGACGTTCTCGGACTGTATTCTAACCATTCGCTGATTTCCCTATACGTATTCAAACATTATTAATCATTTGCCATGAGAACATGAAATTAAATTGCGCAAATATCCTTACCCGATTTCTATTACGGAATTGTCAGCTGAAAGTAAGTAGTCGCTCTCAAATGGATGTATTTTCTTCGACCATTCATCGCGGATTTCGTCGTATAGAATATTTCCTCCATCTTTGAGAATAAATTCTAAAATTTAACAGCTGTGGAACGCTATGATTGGCATATCATTAAACTTCTCACCTATCCATTCTGTCTGATATGATTCAACATCAACACCCTTGGGATGATGGTCTTGTCCAGGTTCGAAGGGGTAGAATTGAGAAAAGCGCTGTAGCCTGCATCCCACTTTAATTTTGCAATTCAACCAATATCCGTATTCAGAGAATACATCATCCAATTTCGTATGCGTTGGATTATGTTCAATCGCTTGCTTTATTGCTGCAACGAATTCATCGGTCGGTTTGACATCCTTAAGATTGATATTCCATAATTCTTTGTCTAATCGGAAAATAACCGCCTCATCGGGCGTCTTATCGTACAAAGGATTGTTTTCTTTATAACGAGAAAATGGTTTCGGGGGATTAAAGAGAGTGCCCTCGTTATCAAGTGTAAGATTATTTCTATATATATAAGTATCTTGTATTCTATGTGTGTTTATAAGCTGTACAGAGGGTCTTTTCTTTAATGATTTTTCTCCGGACCAAGAATTCGCTTGAACCACACACTTATGTGCAAGACGCAAACTGTTCTTATCAAACAGAAAACCGTGACACAGCCTGAAATCCTCGATTATGTTATTTGGAGCGGCCATTACCCCACAGAGAAAGGGCTTTGTAAGAATGCAGGGTCTTGATTAAGGGGATGCGTCACCTATCTCCTGATGAAGCCAAGATCTGCAAACATTCCGCTAATACTAAATAGTTTGTAAATTTTCAGATCGATCGGCAAAATTCTTAACGTCAAATATTTAACTCGACTTCCAACCGTGAAACAGACACACAAAATAGACAATGGTGGATCTATATACAGTCAACCCCTCTCTATAGTCCTTCCTCTATTGTCACACCATATAAAAACTTTGCATATAGTCACACTTTCCCAAATCCCCCCATTGCCATTTTGCTTAGTAGAACATAAGAAATAAACCCTCTCTATAATCCACTCTGTCTATAATCCCCACTTTTCCAAAATTTGCATTGTGCCAAAAAAAGTGTGACTATAGAGAGGGGTCGACTGTGGTGGCAGTAATTGCTCGAAATTCTGTAAGACGTTCTCCCAATGCGAAAGTAACAACTTATCATAAAGTTCGACATGTAATTTGTAATGATGGAGGTTCAATTCTATAATTTACTCAATCATTTGTTACACAGACCACTCCGGCAAAAGTAATGACGAACGATTTTTTGTACACTTCAACAGTTAAAAAGAAAACCTTTTTTTTTTTTTCATTAACCATGATTAGTTATTCGATATTCGGTATAGCCTCCCTCAATTTATGCTTCAATCCGATTTTTTTAATGCTACTAATACTGTTACCTATGCTGTTTTTTCAAGACTATCCTACTTAATTATATTTACAAAATAATTATTTTTTTCTCTACTGCATTTGCTTGGTGAGTTCGCTGAGCATATTTGAAAAGCTTGGCATTCAGAATACCGCGAGGCTGGAGCATACTAAATTTTACGTAACTTGAAATTAAACCATTTGTTTGGGTCGTATGACATAAGCCAGTGTGTGGCTCTATTATTATCAGCCATTTAAGTCAGCAAACAATTTAAGAGCTACTTTCATAACGTTTACATTGACAGAGATAACGGTATCTCTTATTTACATAACATGCCCTATCCTAAATCCCTCCTTTTCAATAATGTCGAAACATAATCGTATGTTGGTTAAAAAAGTTATTAAATGTTCGCTACGAAGAAACACACAGTGAAACCACTACGCCATGAGCCGACGGAAAGACTCGCCTTGTATTGATACAAATAATAATATTAGCACAACCTCATTCATAACTAACGTATTTACTACGAACTTTTTATTTAATTCTCAAACATGATTGTTTTTAATAAACATATTAACATTATTCGTTATAGTCATATCGCTACGTTTGTTATCATTAGGCTTCTTCTTTATAATAGTCATTTCAAAAGACTTAAGAGTAGAATTGCATTTATTATCCTCTATATCGAACGGATCGGTTTAATATTGAATCGCTTGCAATAAACTAACCATGTTTTATGACGAAGTTTTGTTATGCTTGCTATAAGGTAGGTCGTCGTCGATTCAGGGACCATATGTAATGTTCAAGTTATCGTTTATCAGAATAACAGTTAAAAATAGTTTATTGATTATTTTTCAAGTCATTGAAGCTCAGCTTCAGATGCTGAGACAGCGTCGGGAAACAGAGGGTATTTAAGAAAATAAATTAATGTTTCAGAAATATCATACTATGCTACTCTATCCTTAGTACCGCGGCAATCATATGATCAAATCGCTGTTCACATATGTTTTTTTTGCTGATTGAATTTGGAAAGAACAAAATCATTCATTCGTTCCTTGTAATTGTGTCTACAGAATTTGTAATGGGGATATTGTTAAGAACATCATAGCCAATTATACCATAATCAGCATTAGGGGGATTGTTTTGCCATGAATAAACTTCACTTGTTCTAACCCAGTTGGACCAATTGGTCCTGTCACCCAAACATATAAGCCATTTCCTTGAAGCTTCAGTAATTTTCTTAAGCTCATCGTCGTCTTCGGGACCTACCAAAATCCCAATTATGTTGGGAAATATAGGAGGCCTTTTTCCAAAGCGCGGACAACATTCGCTTCGTCACAGCATATCCGCAGTTACACTAGTAACATCAAGTATCGTCATTTGAAGTATTTTATTATTCCAATATGACACAAAATTAGGCATCGATGGTTGTAGTTCGTCCATATATCGCGTATATGCAGTATACAATAAATTGTGTATTATTATACACTGTAATTATGTCCATTTCCAACGTCTTGCGGGGCTGAACTATAATATTAGAAAAATAGTGAGTAAATGCGTCATCGCGGTCATCAACCATTTGAAAAGTAAAAATAAAAATAAAACAAAATAAAATATTTTACCTCAACTTACATATGAGCCCAAATTCCTACAACACTGAGTTTAACTTGTAAGAAGCGCCGAAATTCTGCGTTACCGGCCCATAGGGTCTATCTCTGGCACCGTGAATGGGAGTACGGTAGTGTCAGGTTGGACTGGTTGTGGCGTCTGTCTTTTCAGCCATAAATTAATCGTGCTAGTTGTTAGAAGACTCCTTCGTAAGTTGTAGCGAAATTTGTATTTGAACGTTTTCATTTAGTCACTGGTCGATAAATAATCGTAAGATGACTTTTCGTAAGTTGTTGCGACAATCGTATGTGTGAAATATAGAGTGTGGCAAAAGGACTGTTCGTTATTTTCGCTTTGGAAGAGAAGCAAGTAGTCGATGGTCGATAAATTATTTGTTCGTTTGTCGAGTGTCAAGATTTTGTTAGTTTCTGGCTTGGAGCGATGACTGAAGACTGTTTGTTGCTGTTTATTGACTTTGATAGCGTTACTTTTCGACGAGAGAGGGGTGGGGAATATATAGTGAGTAGACTCAGGGTCGTGTAAAAATGACGCATATTGATAGAAACATTTGGAATTATTTGAAAGGATTAGGGAGGTGCTTATATTTTGATAGAAACATTTGGAAGGATTAGGGGTGCTTATATTTTTTAGACAGATTATGGTAATATAAATATAAACAGTCACATGTTGTAGAAACATTTAGAAGGATTGGGAGGTGCTTATTAATAGAGATTTTTAGATAGATTCCGGTAATATAAATATAAACGATTACACGTTGTAGAAACATTTAGAAGAATTGGGAGGTGCTTATTTATTATAAACAGTACGCCATAGAAACATTTAGAAACTTGTGGCAGGATTAAGAAAGTGCGTATTTATTACAATAAACTGTCGTCACATGATGTGAATAATTATGCAAATTACAAATCCGATAAAGTAATAACCCTTTGGCACTTACAAAAATTTCGAATATTTGTGTCGCACAAGAATAATTTCTATTTACTATTACAGTAATAGTAAAGATGTATCCACTACCTTAATAAAATCCGCTCACATGATGAAATGGCTTATTATCGTAATAATAGCTCATAATATTATACGTAGATCCACCTATTTACTACTCTTCAACTCATTACTATCTAGTATTGTTGTCTCAACGGGTCCTCTCCTGCCTTCTGTATATTAATATGCCTTTTTCGTTTTCGCTCATTACCCAACGTCTAACAGCCTTCTCTCCCTCCTTTGACATATACTCACTTTTGAGCATTTTTGAAACGGCCGACTGGTTTAAGCGACATGTATGTCCAGAGGCATTTCAAATTTCTGCAGCACATGATTCTTGTCTGAAACTATGACTTTTCTTTTTACATTCCTCAAAGTTTTTTTTGAATTCTTGAAGAGTTTTCAGTATTTTGGTGAGCTTGATCACTGATTTAGGCCATTTTCCACTATCATCTTCCGACTTGCAAGAACTTTTCAGATATAAAAATTTGACTCTGACGAATTACATGAACATCAGCTTGCACTTAGGGACTTCTGTGTTGAAATCTCTGCGCGATAAAAATAGACCTACTGTATATTAATATTACAATATGACCAATACCTACTTGTTTAATTCAGTGACATGATCCTTGCAACTCATCAAGACGAGTCTGAATTGCTCATAATATTACTTGGTATTAGCGCAATATCTTACTGTAAACAGAAATTATTTTGTGCGACACAAATATCCGAAATTTTCGGATTATTTTGTCGGAATTATTACTTACGTAACCAAACGTTCAAGTAACTTAATTCTTGGGCTTCTACGTTTAATGTCAAATATGGTTTACTCTAGCAATGCCGGCCAAATTTTTCCATCATTTATTGAAAATTGAAGAAAAAATTTGTTGTCAATTTGTATTGGAAGTTTTCATAAAGTTACCAAAAATGGTACATAACGTTTTAATGTTATCATATGTGGTATTGATTTCTATAACTTTGAAATCTGGCCTTGATTGAAATATAACTAATTCATAAATTTTATTATGTCGTCGAAAGTCGCCAAAATAACAAAAAACGCGCAAACTACGAAATACTGTTCTGCAAAAGATTATTAATAGTAAAAACACGTATTCCAATAAGCATCATTTGCCGAGTTTGTTTGTGACTAGTCTTTTTTATAAATTCATCGAGTTGCTTAATGTTACTAGTCCATCCATCGAATAATTGTTTATGTCCACAGATGTACCACTTGGAGTAATCCCCACATGCGGAACAGAAGCCATATCGAGAATAACAATGGCAAAAGCGGCTATCAGCAACCATGTAATAGTTATTATTGTACTTGATAAAACCCCTTTATTAGTCTGTTGTGATGATAAAGCCAGGCGGAATATCGTCTGTATCGACTGATATCACTATTGCTGTGCTATGTTCGTGTGTTAGAAGTGAATATATTCTGAAAAACTCATTCACAAGTTATGGTATACATTCTTCATTGCTTCCAAGCAACACCAACGTTATCATCGTTTCCGCCGTGCAAATAGCGCAGTAGACGTTGTCAATTTGAGTTGGCTCTGTCTCGATAATATCTGAGCAAGAAATCCATTCGAGTCTTAAGTCTTTACATTCACTTTCCAAGGAAAATTGAATCAAGCTGTCAATTGGTGTACAAGTCTCTAAAACTAACGACATTGTTGGTTGATGTCAACACAAT